ACATCACAGTTACCTTGAGCAAGTGGACAAGAAGCCCGCCACTTTACATGCGGTCCCCATACGCCATTCCCGCTCGTGCCAAACGTAGGAACCTTGGAATCTCACGTCTGCACCGGCGATCAGGATTAGGTACAGGCCCATAAGTAGGTCCGATATACCTATAAAAAAAGCGTGTTATATTACAGGCAGCTTAGCGCACAGTTTTAGAAATGGGAAATGCGCCGCTGTTTGTTTGTTTTTTCATCATAACAAGTGGTTTTCTATTATTTCCTTTACTTTTTTCGCTTTACCATGCTGGTTTAGGTCTACATCTTCTCTTCTTCCTTGGATGTTAAAGATATTCATCGATTTAAGATGGACTGACTATTATTTTTATCACTAGTTTTATTACTACATTGTTTTGTCCTTGGTGAGCTGTGACATAAGCCATACGCATAATTTTTTATGCAAACTGTTTTGTGAGAAGCGGGAGTGAACAATTCTATTTTCCGCGTCATGCAGATTTACAGTATTATATATAAATTTTTGAAAAAAAGTTGTTTTTTTAATCTAACCTCAATTATAGTGGAAAAATATGATTAGTTAAGACAAATTAATACAAACTGCTGTGCAAAGTATGGATAACCTTGATTCGCCCATTAAAGAGATATTTGAGGATGAATTGCGCCACGAATGTTTTTATCGCACTATAGTACGTTGTTTTCTGCACTGCACTTACTTAGATTCAGAATAAACATGCCGTAGGATTTCACCAACACCCTTCTGTCGTAGACAATTCTGTAGATGACAACAATGAAGTTGCCTAGCAACGCAGCAACTCCTACAATCCACAGTAGAGCTTTCAGAATGGGCTGTCCCATCAGGTCTAGTGAAGAGAATACAGAGATTACGGTCAGGGCTGAGGTCATGGTTGGGGTCAGGGTTGGGGTCAGGGTTGGGGTCAGGGTTGGGGTCAGGGTTGGGGTCAGGGCTAAGGTCATGGTTGGGGTCAGGGTTGGGGTCAGGGTTGGGGTCAGGGTTGGGGTCA